AGCACCGGCCACCGCTACGGCGAGCGGCAGATCTGGGCGTGCATCTCCCCCAACGAGGGTGCAACCAAATTCACCGCGAGGCCGGTTAATCCTCTTCCGAGGAAGATTACTCAGTGGGGCCGGGGATGCCAAATAAAAATCAGATTTGAATAAAGGTTGCACGAGCACCAGGCTCTGGCAGGCAAATAGGGAGGGGGATGAGTTATCTCGCTGGGCTATGGCCGAGTGCCGGGGCCACCACAGGAGCACGTGCTCCGATGCAGCCGCGGTGCTGAGCCGCTCGGCAAACAACAAGGAAAAATTAAAAAAGGGGTGGGGGGAAGTCACATTCCAGCGGCAATACTTTTAAACAGCACAGTCTGTGGAAGACATAACTAAAGCCCTGACTCAAGCCCTCCTTCGCACGCACCAAGATTTGCTGCGCTCAGCACAGAGGCGGCGCAGAGAAATGCCGTTAAAACCCCAATCCCAACCCAAGGAAGCAGGTGAAGGAACCTCCCTGCAGCCATTCCCAGCCGGCACAGTGTGGGGCTGATCCCAGCCCTCCTCAGCCACAGCTGAGCCACCCCAGGGGGGTCCCAGCTCCCAGTTGGACCTGCTGGGTTCCTGCCAGGCTCTCAGGATGGAGGAGAGCGTGTCTGCCTTCCGACAGCCCGGACACAAATAGGAAGGGAGTGTGGAAAAATACAATGGGGTCGCTCGCAGCCCTGCTAAGCCGGTGATGGGAAAAGGGCCAAACCTGCACGGTGGTGGAGGAGCCGGAGGCACGGCGCAGAGCACCGCTCTCGGCACTCCCTGGGGGAGCCCGACATGCCGGCAGGGCTGGGGAGGGGGGTCTGAGCATGAGGCACCAATCCTGCTGGGAAGCAGCGCTGGCCGAGTGACCCAGTTAATCCCAGTGCAGAGTGGGACTGGGCGCAGGGTGGAGCTGGGTGCCCGCGGGGTGACGAAGCGAGGGCAGGGAGGGAGCGCTCCCACTCCTCCCTGCCGACAGCCACATGAGCTGCACGGCTCCGGGCAACGGGAAGCAGAAAGAGAGCAACAGAAAAATATCCAGGCAACATCTAGATTTGAAGAATTTATTTCAAACAAAAATTCCCCAACAAAAAGTCGTACAAAAACAATAGAGACACAAGGGTGGTCATTACCAAAGTGTTCACAGATACAAAAAAAAAAAAATAATCATCTGAGCAATCCCCAGCGAGCAGAGCGCGGCCCCAGCACGGAGGCTAAGGCACGCTTGGCTTTGGTGGTGGGTGGGGAAGCAAGAAGCCCCACGGGCAGGATTGTCTCAGTGAGGGAATGCAAAGGTCCTCAGCACCCAAACTCTGCTCAGGTCACGCTGGAGCGAGCGGGGTCAGCCCCTGGCACCCACGCTCTTGCAGTCCTGGCTCCAACACCCGGCTCAGCGGTTCCCCACACCCGGGAGCACAAATTGCTGTTGTGCCCTCACCACACCAGGGCCACCAACCCCTCTACAGGCTCAGCACCAAGCCCATCCTGAGCAGGACTCTTGGCCTGGAAGGACTAATTTCAACTCCACATCTCGCATCAGCATTTGTGGCTGCCACCAGCCTCGGACCAGGCTTCCTTCTCATCTCCTTGGCCACCAGGGAGATGCCAGGGCCACAGCTCCAACACCCCCGTGGTGGTACCGCACTTTGGGGGTTGGTTTTCAGCCCCACCATGGGGGAGGCATCAGCACATTGTGCAGGTTTAGGGCTGACACACAGGAAGAAGCTTTCCTGGTTTCGGTAAACAGCACCAAAACGCTGCCACAGATCATAAATTCATCCCCCAGGTCCTCTGCCCTGGCAACAGCCCACGGAAGCCTTTACTGTTTTGGTGGACTAGCTCAAACCATTCACCCTGCAGGTATCACCAGGCTCATGGCAAAGATTATCGGCAGCAGGCAATGTCTCTGCTTCATCTGGCCAGAAAAAGGCCTTTTACTTTCTTAGGGAACTGCGATCCTGGTGAGCTACTGCGGGAGAAGGGCTGCACCTGCATCACCACGGGACTCAAACCCCAGCAAGATTAAAATACCCTCTAGACATCCCGAGAAATAACTCCAAGCTCCTGTTTTCCACGACAGGAGTTGCCAGAGCACGGCCACCGCAGGCAAGGGGAGAGCAAACATCCCCCCTTCGAACCCTAAAATCCCGGGGCAGTTGTTAACCTTCCGCGTCCTGCCCAACCACACACGGAGCTGCTCCACACCACGAGGTCTCACGTACTCTCCTACCATGCACGAGTCCACACCACCACGCTCGGTGTCGGTCCGTGGGACAGTCACGACAAGAGTCGTGGAGGGCAGTGAGCGAAGCCGGGGTCTCGGCGCTGCAGGAGCTCCGGTCTCACGGCCGCCGCGTCCCCGTTTCCAGACTGAAGTGCTGCGAGGGTGCAAGCTTCCACCCCGAGGGACGGCCACGCTATCAACCACATCCGATGAGCTTCTCTCAACAGGTCATGCAGCGCGGACGGATGCTGTCTGAAGGAGGGTTTGGATCAATCTGCGAAGCCAAGTTGAGAGTCAGAAACCTCGGCACTGGGCACACCCCAACCATCTCCACCAGCCCTCCCAGCCCAGGGGGATTTGTTACCTCCGAATACAGCGGAGGTGGTCGGAAGCGGAACTCCTGGATGTAGGCGAAGAAGGGACCTTCCAGGATGCCGCCCAGTTCGCTGCGGCACGGCGGAGCCAGGCTTTGCTCGGCCTCTGGGCTGGACACGACCGCTGAATATTCAGGGGGAGCTGAAGAGAGAAGAGAACCATCAGGGAACAGGAAACACTCTCCATTAATGGGAGACACGCAGGTAAAAGGGCTTCAAATCCATTGTTTCCCAAACCCTCCCAGCTCCCTGGGGAAGAAATCCAGGAGATGCAGCACCACAAGCAAAAAATTAAGTACAAAAAAAAGTCCTGGAGCAAGAGATAAGGTTGGGACCTTGCTCTGACCCTCGCTATCCAGAGCAGGTTGACCAGGGGGTTTTGCAATACCCAGATCCTGAGGAGAGGGAGATGCTCACCCTCCGGCTGCTCTGGGATGGAGCTCAGCCAGTCCAGGTTGACGCTGTACTGGCTGCTGACGCTGGACGTGCGGCTCCCAAACGGATGCAGCGGGATGGTTCCGATGACGAGCGGCAGTTCGAGGAGCAGCTTGGACGTTCCAGGAATATCCACGCAAACCTTCAGAGAGAGGAGACAGCAGGGAAGCTGAGCTGTTGGTGTGTTCCCAGTCTGGAGGGGCAGACATCTCCCCAGAGCACCGGCTCGAGTTGGCCAGGAGGGAATTCTTGCAGCAGGATGCAAAGGGAGATGCAAATGCTCCTGCACGAGTGGCAACGGGGCAGCGGGGAGAGCAACCACAGCCGCACAGGGGGAACCCAAACCTGACCCAAATCACCAGCCCCAAAATCTCTGCGCCGGCCCAAAGCGGGCGCAATGAGCGCCGTGAGAAGGGGAACGCTCAGCACCGAGCTGAGCCGCCCGCGGTGCTCCCCACGAGGTCCCTCACCTTCAGGGAGTATTCGACCTGGATGATGCGGCACTGGAGGATGGACGGACCCACCGGCGGGATCTTCAGCGCCCGCCCGTGCCACACTTCCCGCTTCCCCGCTGCAATGGAGTCACCGACGATGCTGGTCACCACCGACTTCTTCTGCTTCTTGGTGCCCCGCGCGATGAAGGTCTGCGTCTGGATGATGGCCGCCTTGGGCACCACCGCTCGGCTGGTGCAGTTGTCGATCTCAGCAAAGATAGGGATGACCTCACCTACCAAAACAGACGCCCATGTTGGAGGAGGGGAGATGGAGCCCGGTGGTCCTGCCTCACGAAATTCCTGCATAGGGTCACCGAGGGTTGGCCATGCTACCCGGCACTGCCGGTACAAGGTTTCACCTAGCAGGCGCCCGTCCCGAGGGGTCTGCCCACATCAGGTGCGCACACGAAAGCTCTCCGACTGATTTCGTGCCAGAAGATGAGAGCCCTGCTGACAATGACCCCAAATCGCCTCCCGCCGGGGTCTACCCCAGAGCCCACAGAGGTCCAAGGGCACCAGCACGTCGTCTCACCTGGGGTATAGCCTTTTCGGTCGATCTTGGCAGTCACAGACACCTGGCCACGATTGCAGTACCAGGCACGAGCAAGTTTCTCCTTAGCACCTGCCTGGGGAGCCTGGAGAAAGGGAAATATTTAAACTATTTAGTAAGAAAGTACGAAACTCAAAGCAAGCACCTCCCTGGCACCGAGAACCTGCCAGGGAGCATCAGCAACTTCTCAGGTATCTGATGCAAGATGCTGTCGCAATGCACTGAAGTTTCCAAAAAACTAAGACACAGATGACCTCTGCCCAGCCCAGGTAATGCCAGAGGGCACAAAGTTGAGTGGGGGGGCGGTTGATGACTCCTTCTTGAAATCAGGCCTGCGTTGTAATGCCAGAGGGGAGGCAGAAACCTTCCCCATGGGCTTCCCCAGGGAGGTTTTGGATGCCACTGCCCCGAGGCAGAGCAGGGGGAGCTCACCAGCAGCGCAGGCGTGTTGATGTCGATGGGTTCAATCACGGTGAACTCCTTCTTCGCTTTCTTCACTGTCGACCAGGGTCTGTGCAGTTTGGCTTTCACCCAGTAGCGCACGCTGCCGTGCTTTCCCTCGAAGGAGGTAGCCAGGGTCCTGTGTATAAGGAAGTTCAGAAGGGCTTTGCTGAAGGAATCTCATTTTTGAGGTGCCCCATCCCCCCTCCCAGGACCTGTGTCATGGACCAAGCGGTTTCTCTTCCCCCTTTGCATTAAGGCAACAAAAAAACCGTCAACTTACTCGGGGAGCTGGAAGGTGAAGGGGAACTCGTGCCTTCCTGCCTGCAGGACAGTGACCTCACCATTGTCTGTGGGCAAAACAGATTTAAGACGATTATCTCCCTCCTGCAGAACTTCCTCCCTGGGCAAATCGGTGGCGGAGACGTACAGTACACAGCGAAAGAGCAGCACGACGGCACAGGAATATTTCTGCCAGGGTTAAACTGCAGCAGCAGCAGTCACACAGCTGTGACACGAGAGCCGGGCACCGTCTGCTTTCTACATGTCTCCGGGCACGGACGACCCAGGGGCACCTCCTCGGAGAGCCAGGCAGCTTCCCCGGGTGGGCTCTGCTTCACCCTGCAGCCACCCTGCACTGCGGCTCAGCAGCAAGAGCCCGGAGATGCCCGGCCAAGCCAGAAGCAGCTTGGGGAGGGTGGCCAGCCAAGCCCCCCTGTGCCCCCCCAGGGTTTGAACCCCCATCCTGCCTGCATTGCACAGAGCAACCGAGGTTGGAGGGGATCTCTGGGGATCACCTAGTCCACCCCCCGTGCTCAAAGCAAGCTCCTGAACCTCCACAGGAGTTTTACAACGCTGCTTCCCTGCCAGGGAGCACCCACAGCAAAGGGGGAGCCTTGGAGGGGTGCCAGTCCCTAACCGGGGTGCCTTGTACAGCACCAGTGTCCAGCTGCGCACCCCAGGATCCTGGGGTGCACTCAGCACTCAAGGCATCTGCAGCAGACCTATGCACCCAGTCCCCAAAGTGCCCGGACCCTAAGGCACTCCACGCACCCACATTTCAGCCCGCTGGGGCGTCGT